TGAACCAATTGACCAACTAGAAATATTTGATATCCTTTTTGAGTGATTGCATTATATGCTAGTTATGTTGATAAATTTGCGGAACTATTGCTACTATGGATATCATTACAAAACTGATGCTCCATAAAACCGTTGTGTTCTTTTAGTGATTTCAGAGTGTAGGACAAGGTCTTGTGAAGTCACCGAAAAGGGGAAGTATCAAATATCTATGGCTATGGTTGCATGTGCTTGTTAAATATTTAGTTTATATGAGTATCATTTTTCGTGTGAACTAGAAAACATTCAACTATCCGACGTCAATCATAGGGCTAGGCTTTCTTAAATGTTTGTTTTAAGATGCTCTCATGCAATTCCGGTTCCTTACTAGCATTGTATTTTATTCTAGAGTTCAGAATGAGTAGTTTGTAAGTCCTTAGCGTGCCAACATCATCTTAGAGACATAAAAGATCCAGAACATCCTTATTCTTTAGAAGAACTGAAAGTTATATCAGAAGATGCGGTTGAAGTAGATGACAAGCGAAGCTATGTCAGGTGAGAAGCATGTGAATGGTAGTGCTTTCATTTTGCACCGTTCTGGTATTTATATACGGCTTGTCTGAATAATTATCGGTTTCAGGGTCACATTCACTCCGACTGTTGAGCACTGCAGCATGGCAACAATCATTGGCTTGTGCTTGCGAGTGAAACTTATGCGCTGTTTGCCTTCCCGTTATAAAGTATGTTTCTGTTAATTCACTGCTAGCTTTTGTTAATGGCATAGATTGCATCATTTCATATCCTATTACTTCAATCTCGTATACCTTATGTTCTGATTATTTAGAAGTAAAGAGCTAGTGCTTAAACTGGCTTAATATAACAATATATTTCTGTTGGAGTGAGTTAATACCATCTGAGGTCCTCCGAGTATAGTGGTTTTGTCACGTTTAGTCCTAAACTTTCAAATTGACCATCAGTGGTCCTTCGACTTTCAAATTTAACCATTCTTGGTCCAAGTTAACCACCCATGGTCCTTCAAGTTTCGAAATTTAACCAGTCGTAGTCCTCTTGAAAGGACCATGGTTGGTTAAAATTTAATAGTTGAAGGACCATTGGTGGTTAACTTGGACCATGAATGGTTAAATTTGAAAGTCAAAGGACCACTGATGGTCAATTTGAAAGTTTAGGACTAAACGTGGCAAAACCACTATACTCGGGGGACCTAAGATGGTATTAACTCATTTCGGCTGCAAACTAAACGAAGTTATAAAACTACTTCTTGACTTCCTCAATTAATGTTATGCCTACAAGTTTTTGTGATATCAAAACAATTGTGATATGATCAGAATTTATGCCTACAAATTCTATAAACTAATATTGACTTGATTTCACTTGCCTCGGGTGTAGTGATACATTGATTAAAGTAAAGAGAACTGTTTTGGATGCTATGTTTTTAACCATGACGGTCCATGGAACCACATGTGTTTAGTTCCTATGGTAGCGGAGTTGAGGACCTTGTGCAATTCTCGTTCATTATAACACCAACTCAAAACTTTGAAACTCCATTCTTTCATCGGTGGAATTGTACTACATGCTAACTTATTTTGTTTTTCAAATGAATGATTCTATAGAAGACTAGTTTTCACTTGTAAAAACCGTAAACTAATTTTAACTTTTCCTTTAACTTTTTCTTCCAAGGCTCTAATGATGTCTTTTTGTTGTATTACCAGGTTGATATTAGAGTTGCACCAGGAACTCATGCAACTGAAGCTGCAGGTCTCTCTCTTTCTCTCTCTGAGCCCTGTTAAATGTAGATTCATAACGCTAAACTGTCTTGTCTCACATTTCTTTTAAACGTGAATAATTTGCTTCAATTGTATCTTCTGCCTGTTTCTGGCATAGCCACGGTTTAAGGCATTTTATGTCAAAATCAAGCAATTGTTTTGAACTAGACGGTACTTTTCATTTATTGTGTCTAGACATTCCCATTTTTTGTCTGCAGTAAATAAGCAATTGAATGACAAAGAACGAGTCGCTGCAGCTTTGGAAAATCCCAACCTCGTGGACATAGTTGACGAATGCCTCGCTCCATCTTATGAATCGTGAAAGTAGAGGTGATACACCATGGATAACTTGAATGTTCATCAAGCTCTCTCCTATGGCTCCATAAAATCCCCCATATTTTTCTGTAGCCTGCTGAGTGATTAGCAGATTTTGCTTCTTTCTCTTTTCCTAGATGTAATGTTATTAACATTTACTCCACAATTCTTTCTGTTCATTGAGCTCTGTTGTCTCTATAAAGGTTGCTTAGTATTTGTATTAAGCGAGTAAAACAGATTAGCCGAAGAGCTTGCTAATGAAGCCGTGTTACACAAGAGAGAGTTGAGATGGCTCGGGACGCCATCAGTGTCAATTATGAAAACTTTGAGAGAGGAGTCACTTGGACCGACTTAGGTTGGAGTCGCCAATTGATCCCGTGGCGATGAGTTTGGGGGTGAGGGGTCTCACCCTCCTTTTATTCACCGGCATGGGCAACTCAGTTGGTTATAGGGGTGAAGTTTGAGAAGAATGATCAGAGATTGAGTCTCATCAGCGACAGTGTAGGAGTAACCTCTCAAAATGAGGATTCTTTATGCGCCGTAGGCTTGTGATTCAGCTGAGTTACCATGATTTACATCTTCCCAGATGCTCTGTCGGGCCGGGATGTGGGATGTTGAGTTTGAGGATTCAACCTTTTTGGGAAGAAAAAAGAGTGAAATTATTATGTCAATTTATTAAAGGAAAGAATGTATGTCATTAATAGCAACATATACTACAAAGAGTCAAAATAGCAACAATAGTAGGTGAAAATTATTGCAATTGCAAACTTGATCAAAGAACATGAGATAGTAAAAGGCTAAATTTAATAAAACTATCAAAATCGAGAATTCAGCTTAGTATTATACTACAAAAATACAAAGGCATGTCAACAAAAGTGCGAAATTGTGCCATTAAACATTTATAACATTTTCTTAATCTTTTCCAGTATTCCAAATGTAAATGTAGGATTTACACAACAACCTGATCTTAGCTTCAATGCTGAATTTGTAATTGAATACAAGATGGTTTCAGGACATTCCATACAAATAGAATACATCATGTGAACATCATAATGAAAACTTGACACCCTCATCATCAGCAAAAGTTCCCTTGAGTAATGCAAGCTTCCCCTTGTTTTCTAGTAGCTTCAGCACTCGCATAAGAACTGTACGATCCATCCCGTGAAGCTCTGGCCATACATGCTAAAGATAAATATAGACGGGGGAGAAGGCGTGTGACAGAAACTATAACCAGTGTTGTAAAAATTGACTTAAGTGCCTGCCTAGGCCACAGAGGGGATTTTACCCTTAAGCGAGCAGACTAGGCGGCTTAGGCGCCCGAGTCGGCCAACTCAGCACCCGAATAGGCGGCCTATGCACCTAAGTCGGTCATGTAACACCCCTAATTTTTAAAACATTTAAAGCTTATGAAATAAAGGCGAATATATCATTATTAACCAAACAGAGCAGAAGCTAAGCATACGAGTCGGGATGCTATGCCACATCTAGGCTTGAGAACCCAGATGCACATGCTAAACTTAACTAAACAAGTATAATCCGTAAATCAATATTCAAATACAATTCAAGGCACAGGCCATCTAACTAATACTAGAGCTATCTAAGCTAAATCTACAAGTCCAACTAGCGCACTCCGAAGCTACTGATCAGTACCTGAAAAACATATAGTGTAACAACCGTCAGCGAAAAATGCTGAGTAATCCACTCTCACGCGTTGAGTACAATATAGGTATATATAAGAAAACCATTTTGAGACTGAGGAATACATATATAGTCCTGAACAACTCTAGCTTTAAAACCAAGATCAAGACTCGAGACACATTAACAGACTTGACACCAGAAGTCAACATAAAGATACCAGCATGCAACCTAATTCCACAAAATAAGACAATAACAAGACTCAACAACAAACCAAGATAATAATAAGACTCAACAATGATCAACAACAACAATACACATGTTCATGTTCCAACTTTATACCAAGTTTCAACCTTCACGCCTCTCCAACCTTATTTCAGTTCCAACCTGTACCTCCAGGTCACCCTTGTATCGCCTCCCTTATTCCTCCGGAGCACGCATGCTCCCCACCGACATACCCCCAACAAAGCCACCAATCTGATAGCACCGTGGTACCTTTACATAACCCGATCTATGCCTTTAGCATACTAATCAAGTGGTCTGTGCCTTGAGATTGAGAATTCAACTTTTTTGGAAGAAAAAAGAGTGAAATTATTTATTATGTCAATTTGTTAAAGGAAAGATGTATGTCATTAATAGCAACATATACACACTACAAATAGTCAAAATTTAAATGCTATAATCTAAAAACATAATAAGTCTCAATTAAGGTTATATCCTTGATTTATGTCCCTCTGCAAATAAATGTGTACATTTTACTTTAAATATTATACATTCTGATGTTATTAGACAAAATTACCTTTACACCGTTAATTTTTAATTCTAACATTTATAACACATCATTATTATCATACACCTATATCTATCATATCTTTTTCCTATTTTTTAATTATCATTTTATTAAAATCATTATATATTAATTTAATACTTAATTATATTTCAATTAAATTTCTACGAATGATAAATTATATATGTGTATGTACAAAATACATATATTATTTGTGTATATATAATTCAAATTATAATTTTTAATTATTTGTATTTATCAATGTTTTAATATTGGACATGAATTTTTGTGCATCGCGCATACAAAATGCTAATAACAATATAAGAGGTGAAAATTATTGCAATTGCAAACTTGATCAAAGAACATGAAATTGTAAGTGATTAAATTACCAAAGTCTCGATTAAAGAACATGAGATTGCAAAAGACTAAATTTAATAAAACCCTCGAAATCCAGAACTCAGTTTAGTATTATATATTATACTACAAAAATACAAAGGCATGTCAACAAAAGTGCGAAATTGTGTCATTAAACACTTATAACATTTTCTTAATCCTTTCCAGTATTCCAAATGTAAATGTAGGATTTACATAACAACCTGATCTTAGCTTCAATGCTGAATTTGTAATTGAATACAAGATGGTTTCAGGACATTCCATACAAATAGAAAACATCATGTGAACATCACAATGAAAACTTAACACCCTCATCATCAGCAGAAGTTCCCTTGAATAATGGAAGCTTCCCCTTGTTTTCTAGTAGCTTCAGCGCTCGCATAAGAACTGTATGATCCATCCCGTGAAGCTCTGGCCATACATTCTAAAGATAAATATAAAGGTGTGTGACAGAAACGTACTATAACTAGTGTTGTAAAAATCGACCTAGGTGGCCGCCTAGGTCGAGGGGATTTTACCCTTAAGTGAGCATTAATCGGCCAACTAGGCGGCCTAGGGGCCCGAGTCGGCCAACTCAGCACCTGAGTCAGCCGAATAGGCGGCCTTGGCACCTAAGTTGGCCAACTCGGCCATTTTTTTTTTTTTTTTTTTTTTTGAGTGTGCAATGTGTTATTATTATTATTATTATTATTATTATTATTATTATTATTACTATTACTACTGGCTTGCCTAAACAGTAAATATTACTGTGCTAAGCGCCCGACTAGCACCTAGCGTCTTCTATAACATTGAGTGTAACAGATCCTTGTTAAGACAAACAAGTAGGAATTGAAAATAGTAGATTCGCAATAACTGGAGCTTACCTGTTCCCCTAGACTCCGTCCCAGAACGTATCTCTTCAACTGTCATTACACTGTCCTCCATACCATTTTCCCTGACCTGAAGAATTGCATCAAATATCATAAAAGAGTGCATGACCACATACACTACATGGTGACAGAAGAATTACAAAGTGCAATATTAAGTCGGTCCAATCTTGGATTCTATGCCAAAGAATTAAGCATTTCCTATGACCTTTATCCATCCATTCTGCACGGCCTGTTAAAGTAAACATATGGCATTTAAATAAATATATTTCTTTACTTATTTGATAAATAAGATATTTATTATGAAGGTAAGCATTTCTTTTGGTAAGAGATTCATTAGAATATTAAAGGAATTAATAACCATAACCGGGTGAACACAAAGTGAATTGGACCAAATATGCTCTAATACCATTTTGTAATCGGCAAATTATTGTATGGACCATGGTCCACATAACTTGTGTGGACCATGAATATATGGTACATTTTTAATATACTAAAGGTACATCATTTGTGTACTGAAGGTACATTATTTTATAGTATATATAAAATAAGAGTTAATACCCAAAATCGTCATCGACTATAGTGGTTTTTCTCAATTTCGTCCTAAACGACTTTGGTGACCTAATATCGTCCCAGACTTTTGTGTTTCGCTCAATTTAGTCCTTCATTTGTTATTCCGTCAAATTGGTGTTAAATTAAGTGACAATTCAGTAATGTCAATATTGATCTCTCTTTACTTTCAACTTGTGAAGTGCGAAATTCCTCTTTCTTGTATGAATTACACCCAGAATTACTCCCGGACCTACAAATCAAATTTTATATTCGCAGTTTTAGGAGTAATTCTGGGAGTAATTCGTAAAAAAAAAAGGATTTCGCAGTTCACATGTCTATGAGTAAAGAGATGCCAATATTAAAATTACTGAATTGTCTATTTATTTAACACCAAATGGACATAATAACAAATGAGGGACTAAATTGAGCAAAAACACAAAAGTCTGGGACTAAATTGAGCGAAACACAAAAGTCTGGGACGATATTAGGTCACCAAAGTCATTTAGGACGAAATTGAGAAAAACCACTATAGTCGAGGACGATTTTGGGTATTAACTCTATAAAATAATGTACATTTAGTATATAAATAATGTACCTTTAGTATATTAAAAATGTACTTTTTATTTATGGTCCACACAATTGTGTGGACCACGGTCTATGCAATAATGATTGGTTATAATCTTAGATTAGGCTAGGATGACTCAATTGAGTTATAATGCACATAGGCCAAATCATGCTAAAAATTGAATCCAACCAATTAGCTAGTCTAATCCATGCCCTTATAAATGACAAATTGTTGTGTGGACCATGATCCATATAGCTGTGTAGACCATGAATGCAATATACATTTTTAATATATAATAAAAGTACATTATCTATGTATTGAATGTAAATTATTTGATAATATATAAAAAATCATGTACTTTCAAATAATATTTTTAGTATATTAAAAATGTACTTATTATTTATAGTTTACACAAATGTGTAGACCATGATCCATATCATGGAATAATGTTGCTTATAAATCTATATACTCTCTCTTATTTTATCAAATGTAAGAAGTATAAACATCAAATGCCAAGATCTGTTTAAAATGCTTACCATCAGAAACCAAAGCCGAAAGAAATGCTTCCCTTGCTTCATGGCTAAGCGATCATGCACGATGACATCATGACACCAGGTGTTACTCATCCATACAAGGCATGTACTTGCACATAAAACTGCTAATACAATGGATTCACCATGATTATGTGGAGTCACAAGTTTTTCATAGCATCGGTTTGATTGTATATTAACCAACCTAGGCGATACTTTTAGCTTGTAGGCGTCTCTTAAGTGCCTCACCAAGTTAGTGAAAATTAAACACCATCAAACTTCGATTCTATAATTTTTAGAATACATAAAAGGAAACACCTACATTATTCATATTCAGCAAAACCATAATCCAAACATATATTCATATTCAATTTGCGGCAGTCATAACAGCAGAGAAAGATCAATATATGCTTTGCAAAACTTTAATACATAAGCCTGCACACATGTCTTCAGATCCAATCTCAAATCGCAATGCAATTCTTCTCATTCCTTAGCAAAATTGGGAAATCTGAAAAGGATGGAAAATCTCACTTTCAATTGCAGGATTGCGTGAAGTAAGGAGGATAGTTGAAGAACTGAGGGAGCTTGAATTCACCCAATTTTTGCATCTTCAATTCTTTCTAGCTCCACCGTTGCACAGATTCAAGAATCAATATTGGGAACTAATTAAAATTAAGCAATAATAATTATACCCAAAAAAAAAGCAGAACTTTCCATAAGTAAACAATGGATAACACAATTTACTACTTAACACATTACTAATCCTAACCCACAGTCTGAAGACCCATGTAGTAGGGAAACAGCAATTTCAAAAAATGTAAGACATGCATGAAACACTGGAAAACAATAAAAGACAAAAAAAAATATGCATAATATTACAAGTACCACTTCTACTGGTGTCCATTGCGGCATTGCCCAAGCTAACTAACAACAGCAAAAATAGTTCAAGAATCAATGAATCACAAAGCTAAGAAACAATCGTCCATAGGGAAATAATATCAAAAAGCTAATTACCTCTTTGATATGTAGCTGTAGAACACTTGGTATATATAAATTATAAATAATAAATAAAAGTAATAAGAGCCACTCAAAACCTGATTAATTGAACATAAGGTCATAAAAAACAAAGAAATTCCCAAGTAGACATCCAATCATATTAAATCAGTACCCATTTGTTCAAAATTAGTACTTCTGCAGCTAAATCTAACATGCAAAGGAAAAACAAATAAGAGATTTGTGTATGTATAGATTGAGAGAGAAAATACCTTGATACACAGAAGATTTGAGCTGAGCTCTGTCGATGGAGTGATGGCAAGTTTGGTCAGAGTGAAACCAGAGAAGGTGATTGACTTTCTGACCCGGCCATCCATTGTTAAGCTTGGCCAGCCATTGTCAAAACGACGTCGTTTTGTCTTAGTAAAAAAAAATCGCTGGTTGTTTGTTAACGGCGTTAGATAAGCTGTTCGCCATTTTTGCCTCTTTCCTTATGCGTTTCTTCTTTCTTTCTTTGCGACTCTGCAATTAGATCAGCTGTTTGCGATTTTGCTCTGCGATTTCTCCTTTTCCTATTTTCATTGTTTCTCTCCACGATTTGCTTCTTCTACACAACTACTCAATTTGTTTCTTCATTGACTTTGGTTCTGTTATTGAATATTCATCTCAAATCACGGATAGTATTGGTGATACGAACAACATAGTAAATGCGATTGATTTGGAGGATAATATTACAGGTTTTTACATTGTTTTTATGCAATTTATGTTTCATTTTTATTTGTCTTTTGATTCATGGTGTATATTTATTTATTTATTTATTTAATGTATTGTAGGTGATTTGAATGCTTTGGTTGATGTTGATTTGATTTATCCAATTGGTGTTGATCTTAGTCATGCAATTCCAGGTTTGTGATTCGCGTATTGCAGTGTATGTGTTGTGATTGAGGTTTGTTTAGTCGTTTGCATAGTGTACTTTATATGTGTTTATAATGTACATTATTTACGTGTATAATATACGTACATTATTCATATGTTTAAGTGTCATTACTGTGAATAAGTGTTCATATATAATGTACATTGTTCTTATATATAAAGTACATTATTTTAATGCCTAGTGTACATTATTTGACCGTGCTGGTGTTTCAATGCATAAGAATGAAAATTTCATTCAACCTGAAAATATACATTATTTTTGTCCCTAATATACATTATGTTAGGAATAAATTGTAATAGATTTTGATATGTCATATTGTAAATCGTAGAACCCCAATTTTATTTTGGTTAGACTAGTCGAGTCATAGACCAAGAAAGGGAAAAATAAATTCATTAGTTGAGGAAAATGGATGAAGAAGATATAAAGTCTAAAATCAAGAATTTGCCTAGTGAAAATGACAAACAGAAGAGGAAGATGTATGCGTATGAAGATGTGTACGCAAGTTATGAAGACTATCATCCTAAGAAGAAATCTCTCAAGAAATTCAAGAAGAAATCCCTCAACAAAATCCCGAAGAAGAAAGAACGTGACTTGAAGTTTGCATGAAGCTATCTTGAAGATCAAGCATCTATAGAAAGAAAGGAGTACACCAAGTGAAACAAGATAATGACTAAAAGGTTGTATGGACGAATTGGTAGAAGCTTGAAATATTATATGTAAGGTCATAGGTTCAAATCTCACATCCCACATATTTTAAAGAAGTCAATAGGGATGAGATTTCCAAATTGACTATTTGAAGGGATGAAGTTCACATACATATCTGGGGCAGAAGTTTCCAAATTGGTATCTCACCTTTGGGGCAGAAGTTTCAATTTGAAATTTGATGGGCTTGAGATATAAATAGCAAAGGGCTTCACTTCAATTCTACTTGACATATAAATAGCAAGGGATGAAGTAGGGCTTGAGATATAAATAGCAAAGGGCTTCACTTCAATTCTACTTGACATATAAATAGCAAGGGATGAAGTAGGGCTTCACTTCAATTCTACTTGAGATACAAGAAGAAGTTGCAGAAGCAAAAATACTAGTAAGGGATTAAATTGGAGATTATATTTTTGAAGATGCAAAAATACTAGTAAAAACTAGTAAGGGATTAAATTGGAGATTATATTTTTGAAGATAGAAATCCCATGAGGCGTGATCTACCCCAGATGAAGATTTTTGGGACGCCTTTTTGCTAAAACCTCAAGCTCAACTTGCAGAGAATCTCTGACATATCTGCAACGTTATCTTATCCTCTGAAAAGGCTATACAGCTAGATGAAATTCAAAAATGAGAACGTTTCTTTCCAACGGACGGATTCTCATTACCAGCTATAAAAGGATGAAGATTGAAGCAGTGGAAAGTATAAGCAAATAGCAAGAAGCAAGAATTCGAAGAGCAAAGAACAGAGCTAAATAGAGCATACAAAATTCAAAGAAAGCTTTCCATCTCAAGAGCTTAAATTGATATATTCTTTGTGAGATAAACACTTAGAGTGATACAGAGCTTACAAAAGAAATATCCAAGAGTGTTAGAATCTTCATCAACTACAAGAGACTAAGCGCACCATTGAAGATCAACTACAGAGTCTCAAAGTTGGAAGCAAGACAAAACTTGTTTTGGAGCAAAACAAGGGAAAGGAGGAAAGTAACACGAAGTTGTGAAATCCTGGATTGTCACACGGAGTTGTGAGATCCGAAGCAGCAGTGTCGGAAGACATTGGGCGTGATTAGTGCGGCTTTGTGATCAAAGCACTAGATCACGGAAGAAGCGTTTCTACCGGAGCGTAGAAGACGGGGAGAAAGTAACGCGACGACGTGAAACCCGAAGCAGCAGTGTTGGTGACACTGGGCGTGATTAGTGTGGGCTTGGTGATCAAAGCACTAGATCACGGAATTCATTCTATCTTGGAACCAAGAAGTGGTGGATATAGTGAATTGCTCTTGGACGATAAGAGCAAGTGGAGTAGGAGGATTACACCACCTCCGAACCACTATAAATTGCCTTGTGTTCTTTACCGCTTTCTTTACTTACTACTCTTGCTTGCTTCTCATGAGAATAATCTTGACACAATATACACACACACCGTATCGTTTATTATTTCCGCTGTGCACCGGACTCTAACAATCTAGTTAAGAGTCTTGGTTTCTCTGTTGCTTTAGCAATTGTTGTGCTATGCGAAAAAGCTTGAAAGTCTATTCCCCCCTCTAGACTTTCACCTTACCTCTTTTGGGACCAACACATTATTTGCCAGTGGTAGTGTTTCAATGTATAAGCATGAAAATTCATATATGTAATACATTATGTTCATTGTTTTAGTGAATAAATGATTTCTTTGTAGAGCATTGGTAGGGGTGTCAAAGTGGGCCGAAGCCCGCGGGTTAGCCTGCACCCGCCCCACGGTGGGGCGGGTTAGGGCCGTAGGAAATTAGGCCCGTGAAAATGCGGGCCTACGGGCTTGGCCCGTGGAGGGCCAAAGCCCGCACGGGCAAACTCGCACGGGTTGCGGGCCAGGCCATATTTTAAAAAAATAAAAATTATATATATAAGATCTTCATTCTTAGAGTGTATAGAAGGGGAGAAATCCAATTAATTCAATAATCCTTCGCTAATTCTTAATTCAATAATTCCTAGAGTACACAGTTCTCCGGTTCTCACTCCTTCTCGCCTCCAACTCCAGCAAACAATTACGAATTACCAAAATTAAAACATTAATTCATACATATTTATGAATTACTAAATCGCCTCCAACTCCAGCAAACATACATATTTATATATGTATTATACACAGATGGCGGCTCTAGAGGAAAAACCTGAAGCCGAGAGAGAAATAGAGTGTGCCGTTGAACCCTAGCTTTGATCACCCTTCTGCAGTTTTGCTTAACGTGCCGTGTCGATCGGTGAGATTTGGGCAAAGTTGATGGATTTTATGGAAGTTTTCGGTGCACTGAGGTGTATCATACACCGTGAGGATGCGAAAGAACGACCAATAAATAGCGACATATTTCAAGCGGTTTTAACATGTTTATATACTATTTACTGTTTTTTTTAATTAAACTGATGGCCTGCGAGACCCACAAGCCCGCATG